TTCTGGGCTTTTACTTACTTCAAATAAAGATGCCAGATTCAGTAAGACTTACATAGGATTCTCTTTCACAAATCAGGTACAATTTCTTAATGAAAGCTCCTACTCATATTTACCACAAGTGACCTTCAAGAATAAGCCTATGTAGTATGTTACTATAACTAACTCATAAAACTTGTTCATAAAACTGATTCACTCGCCAATCACTTAATTGATAAAACAGGTCAAGTAGAGCAAATTACAAGGATTCAGTATTACAACTAAATAACATAACACTAACAATTAAGAGTTATTGTTCATGTTAAATGTAGTTATCATATCTGAAATAAATCCACATATTGTAAATGTAGCTGGTTAAGGAAGCACAGACCTGCAATCCTTGCACTGGAAAGAGGTAGGGAGATCAGGAGTTCAATGTTGTGCTACCAGTCAGTTCTATGCCAACCTAGACTGCATAACTTTTGTCTCAAAATAAACAAAAATAAAAATGTCCCCAGATAATATTTCTTTAAAAGGCTTAGCATATAGCATATTAACAGAAAACAGTTAACAGAAAGTCACGTTCTATCACTCTTTCTACTACAAATTTCCTGGGCAAATTACTTTATACAGTATCAATCAACTTTCAAGAAGTATTGTATATGAGCAACATAATCCTCTGAAACTAGAAAGCAGTAACGCTTTCATGTGTGAGATTATCGTGTCTTAGAAAGATAAATAAATGGCCTGTTCATTTTTAGTTCATTCTGGCTCAAAAAAAAAAAAAAAAAAAAAAAAAAAAAAACAGAAGTAGGGGGAGCAAGACCTTCTGGCCGCAAAAAAAGTGAATTCTTTCCTTTATTTCAATAGTCCCAGGTTTTTGTTTCCTGAACCACTGAAACTCTGAAGCATTTATTATTTCTTGTGTGGATTCGGGGAAGTAAGACCTAGAGATACTAGAGATGCATAACATATACTTGAACCTCTATCAAAAAGCAGTGTTAAAAAAAACCCCACTATTTCATTTGTAGATAGTCCTAATACTAATTATCTTTCCAAATTACTATCCAGTTAGTTTACTTGTTCTAGACAATTGAACTCAAGGAACTAAAGCTAGTATTTTGTAATTAAATGAAAACATGAGAAGAAATTTGATGTATATTTATCAATAAGTCATTTTGTTAAGAAGGAATAAAGCACCTTCAAGTATTTCAAATACCTCAGGTTTGGAAAAAGAAATTATGAGAAAAATAACAGTATTTCTATTTAATACAATCTTATTTCACATCTTTTATTAGAAAGAATAAAAGCTCTGTCTGTGGCATCTTCTAAAGGTTACCTTTTATTAATAGTATGGAAAATACATACCTCCATAAAAGTGGGTGGGCAATTACAAAGTACATGTAACTATTCTTCTGAACAGATAGACCAGAACACCTGCCAATATATGTAGAATCCTGATCTGGGAGCCAGAGACTCCAGACTGATTCTGGCCCTAGGTGATTTAAGAAAACCATATTAAACCTTAACTCTTTAATTTCCTTGTGTTAAAAAAAAAAAATGCAGTAGCTGATCTCAGGCAGAGGACTATTCTGGTTTATAACAGCTATGACTCCATTATCAGAAATTAGAATGATAATCACTCTCCCAAAACTAGTACTAACAAGCCAAGTACCAGAGTAAATCTATTTTATTTTACACATACCACACATGTATGCATACTATAAATCAGATATTGAATGATAGGCTGGAACCAAGACATGAATGAACACATGTGCTCGGATTGTATCTCCAGCCAACTCCCCAAAAAAGGTACCAACAGTAAGTCTTAATTGCAGCTAAGGTCTAAGGGATGTCTCATCTACAGAACTGACTTAAGACTGGAAAGGCATAGAGAATCTAGGTTCAATTCCCAGAACCTTCACAGCAACTAACAACTATCTGTAATCCTAGTCATAGCAGACCAAACACCTTCCTCTGGCCTCCACAGGCTCTGCACACATGTGGTGCAGTCATGCATGCAGGCAAAACTCTCATAAAATAAAATCTCAAAGAAAAAAATGAGAGAGGCAGACAGAAACACAGGGACACATTTCAACCCAAACATGATGGTACAGGCCTGTAATCTAGCTACTATGGAAGATGAGACAGGTGGACTCACAGCTCAAGGTCTGCCTGGGCTAGTGAGTCTAAGGCAGCCTGGCCAACCTAATGAGGCCTGTGTCAAAAAGCACAAAAAGGACAGGGACTGGCATGTGAGAGGACCTAGGTTCAATCCCTAGTCCAGCTAAACAAATCCTCCTAAAACTACTCGTTTTCAATGAAATTAGCTTTGATCTTAGGACTTCTCAGTATCCCTAACTATGAGATACATTTCTATTTAAGGTGTGTGTGTAGGGGTAGAGGGTAGGGGTGTCTTTTTCTTTATGTAAACTACCCAGTGTTTGATAATATAGCAGGCTGAATAGGCTTAAGGCATCTGGAAAGATACTCTCTGATTAAACAATAGAAATCCTTGCACTTAAAGACTGAACTCACAATGAAAAAGAAAACAAGTAATAGAATAAATAATGGGCTACAGACCACTATATACAAGATAATTCAGAAAAACTGAGTATGATGTCTTCTAAGGTAAAACTGAAAGGCACACTGTACAGTCTTTAATCCTCACATCTGAGATACCTTCACCATCCTGTTTATAAATAAAACCATGGCTCAGCAAAAATGAAATCAAGCTCTAATTACAAAGCTATTTCCAGGCTGCATGGTGCTGGCACACGGCTTTATCCCAGAGGCAGAGGCAAGGAGATCTCTGTAAGTTCAAGGCTAGGCTGGTCAACAGAGCTAGTTCCAGGACAGCCAGGGATATACAGAGAAACCCTGTCTGAAAACCACCACAACCACCACCCCACCCCACCCCACCCCTACCCCATGCCAAAAAAATAAAGGAAGGAAAAAAAAAAAAAACACAAAGCTATTTCCACTACACATTTTATCACATCTCTACCATTAACTTTTTTTGAGACATGCTCTCACCTCTTATCCTAGGCTAGCTTCGACCTTGCCACAATCCTGCCTCAGTCTCTCAATCGTTGAGTTTACAGATATAAGGCACCATGCCTGGCTTAACATTGTCTTTATATTTATCAGTGAGGAAAAAAACTGTCAAAAACATCCAAAATTCTATTATCCTAAACCCTTATGAAGAGAATTATCAAAGACGTTTTAAAGACTATTTTTACATGGCCCTCTGTCATATGCTTTCTGTACTTGAAAGTACTTAAAAGACCACTTCTGAAAACTCATCTCCATTTTTAAAAATCAGAAAACTGATATTTTAATAACTACATATGCACTTAATATATAGAACAATTTAACAGTAATGTTATCATTAATAACAAATATAAACCTAAATAGAATAAATGACAGGAATATACCAATAGTCATTTAAGTTTTCTTTTTAAAGACATCTGCAATAATCATTTTAAGCTCTTGAGCAGAAAAAAAATAGCTATGGTTAATTTAGAGGACAAATGTTCACAAAATTGAGAGAAACATTATTACAGCAATTATTTGACAGAAGACAGAGATTGGCATAAATGTATAAAAAAATACAATTGACTTTAACGTTACATGTCAGAAGCATTACAGATACCCAATGAATGCTGTTAAAAGGACTAATCAAGTGGGATAAATTTTAGACTGTGGTAAAAATTACATTTAAAGACATAAAACAGGACAGTAGCCAGTCCTGCTGGCCTACACCTTTTAATCCCAGCACCCTCGAGTCAGAGCCAGGAGGAGAGTTCCAGGTCATCCAGAGTTACACCATAAGATCCTTTCTCAAAAAATAAAATAAAATAAAAGGTGCTGGGGGAGTAGATTTCAGGGATAAAAACAAAAGCCACCTGCAAAATCTGCTTGTAAAGATATTCTAACCCCATAAAGTTAAACTCCTCAGATATGGGGGCAATGTCCAAAGGAGTATGTGTATACTACTCTACACACCAATGCAAGTTAAATATTGACACATCTTTCATAGCTTACATTCTGATTTTGAAAACAAAGCTACAAGTCATCTCTTTTTATTACGTAGGGTATCTCATATTTAAAAAAAATACAGATTGCAAATTATTTGTTGAAGCTCTCATTTTTGTTACAGATTTTGATGCATGGGCTTTTTTGTAATGTTAAGTATTTAAGGACTTACAGTCATCCTTAAGGCTTATCAGCAAAATAGATGTGGTAGTCATTTCCTTAAAAATGCAGTAAGCAGATTAGCTTTAAATGGAGACTCTAATACCAAAGAAATTTCTATCATACATACCAAGACAAAAAAATTTTTTTAACCTCTACTAAATTCTAAATTTACCTGAACTGCCAAAGCTATCTTAAGAGTAGTCACTAATCTGAGCTGTGAGAAAAACACTTCTCATGTCCCTTTTCCCATTAATTCAACAAGATTTACTGAGTAGCGACATGACTTTGGTATGTAGCTTTTTAACAGCTGTATTTCTTAAACTTTAGGTCATCTTTATTTCAAGCGCATTTTCCTCTCCAAAACATTCTGACATAATCTGCTACTTCTCCCCAAATCATAGGTTATACCCATAGTCCTTCACGATTGAAGATAATCGTGGATCATACATTCAATATACTATTTAGTTTACATTTGCAACAGCACACTAGCTACTTGATACAATCCCAAAGAGATTTTGTACTGTTCTATTTTAGCATACTCATAAGTCATTTTTAAAAAATGACATAAAATTGTCTTTCGAGGATTCTAAGTCTGAAAAGTCTTATTAAAATTTTATTTTCTATTTTTAGGGCTAAACCATTTAGTACGTTCAATTGTGATTCTTCCAACAAAAAGCCTCCGCATCAAGATGGGGGAAAACGTCCTTTTCATTTTCTCAACTGAAAAGGGGGAGGGGAGAGGAGGAGGAGGAGGAGGAGGCCAACTGCTTACAGGTTTGCATTTAAATTTAACACAGCAGTTTCTGAGGAATCCAGTAACTCACGTTCAACTACTGAATTCTATCAGAAGCAGCACACGGAGAAACGGAGAGCGCAATCCTTGGGCTTGATGTGCGGCTTCATCCGTCTTTCCTTTCCAATCCACCCCCAATACCCCAACCCACTAAGCACACGTCTAAATATGTCTTCCCACCCAGAGCGCCCCTTTGGAGGAAAAGGCCTGCCCTTCGCAGCCTGAAGCCACAGCAGGCTCTCCGATCCCTGCTTCGATGAGGCCCCAATTTCGATGCCCTGCACGTCCGCCCCACCCCGGGCCCACACGGGTACCCGCGGGCGACAAAACCCTCCCTCCAGCGCTCAGCCAGCACTGACAGTTAAGGCTGCAGCAGCCGCAGCCACCAGGGCCTACTCCTGGCACCGGCCCCTCCAGACCACGCGCCCCAAGCACTCGCTCACAGAGGCGGGTGAGGGCCCGGGCGCCTACCCTGCCTGAGCGGTCCAGAGGGGACGAGAGGGCCGGCGGTACAGACCAGAGGGAGCGCGCCGGGCAGGCCGCGGCCGCAGCAGCACTGACCTGTCCTCGCCCCCGCGCCTGGGCTGCGGCCGCCTCACTGGTCCTAGTTGCCCTCGTCTGCCGCCGCCGCCCGCCACCGCCTCGTTTCCTTTCGCTGGCGCCACCGCCGGAGCTCATGCGGGACCCACGCTCCTCGTCAGGAAACGGAGGCCGGGAGGCCAGGCGCCCGGGCAACGCTGGAGTCGGCGCGCTGATCGGCTGCTGCCGCGGTCTGTCCACAGTGGGGTGCGAGGGAGGCGAGCAACTCCGAGGAGAAGCAGAAGGAGGCGCCACCGTCCGCGACAGGTAGACAGAGGAGAGGCGTGAGGAGGCGGTGGACGGCTGCGTGGCCGGGTGCGCGAGCGAGCGCAGGAGGGGGCAGCGAGGTGCGGGCGAAGACGAAAGGCCCTGTCGTCTCCTATAGTCACCCACAGAGGAGCGCCACCATCTTGGGAGAAACACGGGTCTCGCGAACGCAGCGCAGGACGGGAGGACTGGGTGGGCGGGCCGAGTATCCCGACAGGCAGCGCGCGCCGCCCTGCAGGGCGAGGGCTCGGAGAAGAGAGGCGGGATGCGAGGCGAGGTCGCGCGTGCGTGGGAGGACGACAAGGCTCTGCCCCGCCCCGCCCGCCGCTCCGCCAGGCCCTCCTCTAGTTCGACTTCGCTAGCGGCGCGGGGACCGGTGGGAAGGCGAGATGGCCTTGGGCTCAGTGGAAGCCAGCCAGGCGCTGTCGCCATCTTGAGACAGGGCTGGGAGAGGCTTGGTGCTTTTAGGCCGTGCTCCTTTCATCCAGCCCCTGTGCTTCAGTGTACTCGGGGAGAGCGGCCCGGGCTAGCCTGCCGAGGACAGCCTCAGGGTCAGTTAGGCGGACTAATTGGTTCCGAGAGTCGGCCGAGGCGGTGTACCCAGGCCGAGGCTCGAGGAGGAGCAGAAGTGTTCACTTGCTAGGGCTGACCCCTATGGCTTTTCACCCGAGCTGCCCTGGTAAACGTTGCAAAGGTTGCTGAGAGTGGACAAGCTTTCAGCACACAAGGTCATCAGCTCAGGCCTCTGCCAGCACAGGATATGTCCCAGGTTTACCAGACTAGAAGATAAAAGCCCAGGTCCTGCAGAGTCGTCTTCCAGTAGGCTGTCAACTGAGAGAAGTAACCGCCTGCTCAATCCCACGTGGATAGAGGCTAATTTTGATGTATACAACAGCTGAACCATGTTAAAGCCATGGGTCTTGATGGTACCCGAGTGACCTTTTTACTTAACAGTTTTTGTTGTTGTTGTTGTTAATGGCTATGACACTTGCCACTAAATAATGAAGACTGGCTAACAAGTCATTTTCTGTTTTATAACATCGTGGATAAGCCTTAATCATATAGTACTCAAAATGTAACAATCACAAGTAGCAATGTGCTTTTTCGTTACTTAGAACTTACACAAATGTGTACATATATGTGTGTATATGTGTATACCCCATCTTCCCACTATAAACAGTTATTTATTAAAAATATGAAAACTAAGCAAGAGGGTGAAAAAAGAATGTAAGCTATTCTGGGATAAATGATAATAAATGACATTGTTGTAATGTCAGGTTTTAAGATTCTTTAAAAATATCTACTCATTTTTTTTCATCTCTCCTCCCATTACAACTCTTCATTTGGAAATTACCATTGTATTTTATGGAAAGAGCCAGTAACAAATGTAACCTTTTAAGGACTTATCTTTGCAAATTATTAAAAATTACAACCAAAAATTAAGACCATTAAACTATAAAGCATATTACTATTGCAGGATATGAAGATGTTTTCAGCTATTCTCGAATAAATAGAAGTTGTCTGAAAAAGAAAAGTAATTTTATAATAGTGAGAATTATGAAAATGTAGCCAAAACTCCAGAATTCTAAAAAACTTAAAAGTTTAAGTTAGGAGATAGATGTCAAAATGGCAATCCAGTTCTGTATGGAGATCACGGAGAATCCCAATTTCTCTTGGGAATCTGAAGAAATTATCTTTTTAGTTAACGTTAAATATGGTTTTTGGTTTTTTGTTTTTTGTTGTTGTTTTGTTTTGTTTTTTCGAGACAAGGTTTCTCTGTGTAGTTTTGGTGCCTGTTCTGGATCTCGCTCTGTAGATTAGGCTGGCCTCGAACTTACACTCAGAAAGATCTGCCTGGCACTGCCTCCTGAGTGCTGGGATTAAACACGTGCACCACCACTGCCAGGCTAAATATATATTCTTATGTTTGCCACTGATTTGAATCCATTTATTTTGGATTATCATTTTTTAAATTTAGAAACATAAACTGCTAGATGTGAAGGTGCTTGCCTGCAATCCCACTACAGAGGAGGATGAGGCAGGCAAATCTGAAGTTCCCTGGCAGGCCTCACTATAAAGAGAGACTATCTCAAAGGGGGCTGGAGAAAGCAATGTTTATGGTAAAAATTATCACCATGAATGATTCTTGACAACATAGTCACATACTTTTCATAAAAATTATTTCTTCCATAGCAGGCTTACATTGTTTTCATACACTTTTTCTAGAAAAACCAACTTAGTATCTAGGTGGGCAATAAATTCTTTATACTACTTTAGTCTAAATGAGACTCAACAGTTTCTAATATTTTCTTATTTCAAATGTAAAAGAAATAAGCAAATTAATTGTATAAGCAAATTAATTCATGCTTTGAACATACTTAGTGTCTACTATTTACCCAGAACTATCCAGGCCTTGTGAAACAATAAAAAATAATCCCTGTACCTATCTTCAGTAAATCAATTTAAGAGAAAATCAGGCCTGTAAAAGTGTTAACAGTTTTAAAGCAATTCAGTGATTGTGTAGTTAAGAGGGTGTTTGTAGCTGGAGTTTTCTCTAGTCCACCTGGCTCCTACATCCACTCCGACCCCAGTAAACACACAGAGACTTATTATAAACTGTATGGCCATGGCAGGCTTCTTGCTATCTGTTCTTATATCTTAAATTAACCCATTTCTATAAATCTATACTTTGCCACGTGGCTCATGGCTTACCAATATCCTTACAAGTTGCTTCTCATCAGGCAGCTGGCACAATCTCCCTGCCTCAGCCTTCCACTTCCCAGAATTCTCCTCCCTCCTTGTCCTGCCTATACTTCCTGTCTGGCTACTAGCTAATCAGCACTTTATTTATCAATCAATCATCCACAGCACTTCCCCTTTTCTTTTTTTTTCAAAAAAGGAAGGTTTTTAACTTTAACATAGTAAAATTACATATAACAAAACAATTATCAAGCAAGAATTATAGTTACAATATCTAGTCTATTTATAATATCTAGTCTATTTGTATTTGGCAAAATTAAAGAAGATATTTTATCCATCCTATATTTGTGAGTCTAAAGTTTTATGTCTAACTTATCTTTTATCATGACTAAAGAAATTATAACTATCTAGTCTTCAACTACATCAAAGACCCCAAAGGGATATAATATTACCTGAGAAAGGGGAAAAGGACGCAAGCAAATTTCAGGAGTCTTGGGAGAGTAGACAGAGACAACTGGCAGCCTGGACAGTCATCCAAAGGTCCTCGGTAAAGTTGGGGCATCTGTCTTCAGCCCACAGCCCTAGAGTCTCTCAATCACTTCTCTGTGTCCTGTAGAATGTCTGGCAGTTTCCTCTGTGAAGCAAGAACCTGAAGGACTGTTTTGCCAAGCAAGGTTCAGTGGTCATCTTCCTATATGGGATCTATATATCCAGTCTATCAAGCAGTCCAGGCAAGAACAGTTTCTTGCCCAAATGGCTATTTTTGCCAAGTAGAAGATAAGCTCCATATAGAGTGTCTTCAATGCCCATCATCCTCTCTGAAGTAAATAGTTGCTGCCAGGAGCAGACATGTCTCACTGTCCAGAAAGTCTAAATTTTTAAAACATTTTAAATGTCGTATTCTGTAGGTCTTTGAAGTGTTTGACGATTACCTATCTGTCTGAAATATATCTATATAAACCTAGAAAACTAAACTAATATGACTATAAATTTGACTATCATAGACGACTAATTATTAATCTGTATATCTTAATTATCTATTACAATCTAAATGAGTTAAATAAACATAATACCTCAAATGAGAGTAGAAATATATATATAGTATAACAAAATTAACTTCAAATTTGTATCAATAAACTAAAATCTATAACAATGTAAAACATTTTTAAACAAGTTGTTACTATTTATCCTATCATATCTATATCCCCTTTTCTTCTTTAGAAAGAGATTGCATTTATAATCAACCTGCTTTAAATAAAAATATTGGTTTTTCTCTGTCCCACACCAGAGGGCTCTTCTGATATGGGACACAAGAATCTCTCAACCTTTTCTTTTAAGAATATGCTTGGGTTTAGAGAAGGAGTGAGCCAATTCCATATCCAAAGCCAGCTTGGTATATTTGGGAATTTGGACGTAGTTTCTTATACTACTTCCTGCTGGATGTAGTCTTATGGGAAAATAAAGAAAATTTTAGGATTATGGCGTAGTCCATGGGGCTGTATTGTCTGAGCCAGTTGCCTTGAAACCATTATAGATGTTGGATCATCTGGGCCATGGTGTCATCAGAGATCATTCAGGGGGTCTTGGCTGGTCAAACCTGATGTATCTTAATCTGGAACAAATCCATACCCTCTGGCTTTCTGTGGAAACAAAAGCAGAGCCTCCTTACCAAAGCAGCATATCCTTAGATCCAAATTTTGAAGTCAAGGTATCTTTAAAATATACATATTGGCTTAACTCAACAGCTTTTACAATCAAATGTCTTTCTGCAGTTAAAAATCCCAAAGACAACACAATCCAGATTCTCTGTGTAATATCCATCTTTGTATGGCTTATTTTTATACTACCTTTACTGTCTTTTTAAAGAATTCATTTTTAAAAACTATTTCTTTATATAACTGTATATATTTTTTCTCTCTTTCAAGTCTACATACATTTTTACATGCATTGTAAACTGTTTAGAGGTTTATCCCATCTTAATCTGTCTTATTG